GAGAAATGAGATAAGGAAACACTATAGCTGCTTTGAACTCCTGAAGAAAAGATGGCCTATAAATCTTCAAACAATAAATAAGTTAACGGAGGGAGGGAGAGGCTAGAGAAGGCTGATTTAAACACAAGCATAATAATGACACAAACTCTTCAAAACAAGAGTCATTGGTGATGATACAAACATCCTGGTAAGCCAAGAAATGAATGCCTGATGTGGTGTAAATAGCACAGGGAAGTCAAGGAACTAATTGTGTTGTAGAATAAACAACAAACAGTAGAGAAAGAGAGAGAGAGAAAGACAGAGAGGATTTATGATCCCATTCTAGTTTGCCTAAATCAGTGCCCACTTAAAATTCTACCAAATTTTGCGCACCACAAATCAGAGAAACTGGATACGTTTAGAGAATAACAGAGATATCACCAAGTTAGAAACTCAAATGTATCAAGAAAGATTGAAGGGAATAGTCATGTTTCCAAGTTCTTATTAATTCTTCTGAAGGCTAAACTTATTTATTTATGGCAAAATTACATAGCCACCCATCTCGCCAAAGGCAACTCTGGGTACTGCAAAATAATAGATAAAACAGCCACTGTAAAACTAAATATCTAAAAGGCCGTGGTAATAAATATCATAAAAGCAAAAATATTAACCACAGGCAAAGGGTGGATAAAAATGACCCCCAGTGGCCATCAAGACAAATCTCGTGTTTCCTGAGAGCCCTAGGCCAGGTAGCATAACTAGGTCACATAACCCAGGCACATCTCCTGGGACCCATCAAATCTAGGTCCCCAGCTTATGGTACCCACAAGCATGCTCTCTTTATCAGATCTAAAGGGGCAGTCTGAAATAACAGGGGAGAGATTAAATTTTATTTGTCTGCCTGCCTGCCTGCCTGCCTGCCTGTCTGCCTATCTGTCTAGTTAGTTAATTATATGCCACCCATCTCCCCTATAAAACAACTCTGGGCCACTATAAAATATAGATAAAATATTCTGCTAAATAGTAGATTAGAAAGGATCAATGTTTGAAGATTGGATCACCTTAGAAAAAGTTCTCCCTATAAGTTAACACAATGTTGATGGCACACCGCTGTCATCATCAAAAATATGAAAGTTCTCTCTCTCAGAAGTTCAAAGGAAGCCACAACTTTGGAAACAGAATAGATTTAAATCATGATTCCAGTTAAACGCTCATCAACATTTCAGAGCAGTTTCATAATGATACTGAGTATCAAAAAGAGCATGTGCTGGATGTGTTCAAGAAGACCGGACAGTTGCCTTGTGGCTTTAAATTACAGGCAGTCCTTGACTTATGACGATTCATATAACAACGGTTCAAGTTAAGATGGTGTTGGAAAAAGTGATTTGCGACCTGTATTCACACTGATGACTGTCACCCTGCCCCTGTGGTC